TGTCTTCAAACTGAGTTAAATATTTAAATAGTTAGTTAGTTAGTTAGCTAGTTAGTTAGTTAGCTAGTTAGCTGGTTGCATTAAATGGTTCAGAATTTATTTTTCAAACAAGTTTTAATACAAATGTGGACTGACTGGATGTGAACTCAGTGGAACTAATTTATTCACAGGATATTTAGGAAAGCTATTTTAAGGGTACACAAACTGGATCGGATTTAACTGAGCATGCCAAAAACATTAATTCCTTTTTTATATATACAAATTTTGAATTTGTGCAAACCATTTGAGAAATTGACTTTGCTCTGAAGAAAAACAAGACACAAAGCAAAACAAAAAAATGAGTTTTGCATTGCTAAACAGGCAAATTGGTGACAGGTTATCCACAGGACAAAGTGAGAGTGAGTCTTTTGGAGCTAAAGATGGAAATGACCTAAAAATTCTGAAAATTTTTAGAATATACAAACCCATTTTACTGAATACATCAGTGAAATATACTGAAATGCAAGAAAACTTAAAGATATGATTAGCTTTTGCTTTCACCTTCATTCAATGGATCTCACAAAGAGGGTTTTAAAAGTTCATTATAAAAAATTTAAAAAAAATCCCAAATCCAGAATCTGATGCAGTCACACGCTCAGTCAACATAATCCCAGAGTTTAGATGAACAACTCTGACATCTTTTAATGGTTTTTAGAGCAGAGGAGGCCTACTGTTGCAGATTTTTTAGACGAATCTGTATCTAATTCTTTCTCAGTCTGATATTTCAGCTGCTCAGCAGTTGGTGGTTGCAGACCTGGACCTCCTGCTCCAGATGCTGACAGATGTGGGCTGCAGGCAGGCCAGCTGTGCACACGCCCTCTGTGTGTGTGTGTGTGTGTGTGTGTGTGTGTGTGCGAGGCCAGGCTCCTGGAAAACAGGCATCTTCATGCTGAAATAACCTTAAACCTTCCAGGAAAAGACAACACCTTCGATGGCCTTCATGTCTTTCCAAAACTCTGGTACCTTCAGACATATGAAGCCATCCATGTAATGGACTCTTTCCACATTATTTTATTGTGTATACGATAAACAGCCATCATTCCTTCTAACGTTCGATTGGATTTATTCTTGGACAGAATTTAGCACGGTTTGGAGGGATTACACCATCTTGTGGATGATGCTTTTATAACAAACCGTGACACCCTCACCAACCTAGACAGAAGCTGAACCAATTGGGGGCGATCTTCAGGTCCAGAAGAAGCAATGCGTTAAAAAAATTAAAAAACACTAAACGGATTCAGGAAAGCCTCAAACATTCTATTTGAGTGAACATAATGTGTTGTAGAACTCACAAAAACCATTTTAAAGTCTATATTGTAGAAAAAACAAACAAATTAAAGAACATATCATTCTCTGGTAAATTTAGGGACTTCTCCCATTAAAAAAATGAACATTGATCAACTGAAATATGTGGAACCTTTAGAATAAATACAGTCTGAGCCCTCTGAGACAAGCTTTGTGTCTCTATAGACTGTGAAAAAGTGCTTAAAAATGGAATAAAAGGTACTTTATTTGCTGGTTTTGGTCTGTGATAAATGGCTTAAAACAAACATAATGTTACTTTTTTAAACCCCTCTAAAAGATTGCATAAAAGCTTGAGTTCTCTGAAGTGAAATCTAGTTAAACCACAAGGGGGAAAAACGTTTTTCACGTTCTCCAAACCCAAAATATGAAGCAGAATACTTCAAACATGAGATTATTTTTCTGTTCCTGAACATTATGTCCCCTGTGCAGTGAGAGACATCACTTGGCACTTTGTAAGTGACGCTACCGGAGGAAATTTGCACGTATGAGTAATGTTCCCGTTTGTGAAGGCAGCTTTATATTTATGCACAGAGTGATAAACATGTAGCTGCCTGAATTTTAACATTAATGGGGCTCAATTTATGAAACAATGCATAAAATATTAATACAATTTAATATCAGTGCATTTACATGAAAGTGTTTAGTGAATCGTGCCCTTTTTTAAAAGTTAAGACACACTAAGTTTATTTGTATCCTTGTTTTGTACAGATAACATGGAGGATATTTTTTAATCCCATTTTCTTAATCTTTAAAAAGATTTGATCCTAGCTCAGTCTATTTTAGTGGAGTTAGTAGCAGTTCAATCTGAAGTATATGAAAAGAAAAAGTAAATCATCCAACAAAAATGTCAAACCGAATAGAAGCAAAATGATTTTGTTAGTTATTTATGCAGAAATGTTTAGGGTTATGGTTGCATGGAGGTATGGTGTTCAAATTTTTTGGGGCTCCATTTCGGGGCTATTTTTTGGGGCTATTCTTCTGTTCTCAGCCATAGGGTTCTGGGTTGGGGTCCCCGGGGGAACCAGGACCAGAGGGTTCTGGGTTGGAGTCCCGGGGGAACCAGGACCAGAGGGTTCTGGGTTCTAGTCCCGGGGGAACCAGGACCAGAGGGTTCTGGGTTGGAGTCCCGGGGGAACCAGGACCAGAGGGTTCTGGGTCGGAGTCCCGGGGGAACCAGGACCAGAGGGTTCTGGGTTGGAGTCCCGGGGGAACCAGGACCTTTCTGGGTGGAGTCTGCATGTTCTCCTGTGTCTGTGGGTTCTCTCCGGGTTCTCCGGCTTCCTCCCACCGTCCAAAAACCTGCATGTTAGGTTGTTGGACTCCAAACTGCCCTTAGGAGTGAATGTGAGAGTGTGTGGTTGTTGGTCCTTGTGTGTCTCTGCGTGTCCCTGTGATGGACTGGTGGACCGTCCCATCGGCCGGTTATGATAAAGGATGGATGATTGGGGTTGGGTTTCCTCATGTGGACACAGGTAACACATCTGAATGATCCAAGCCATCCAATGTGGAGCCAAAAGACGGAAAAGACAAGTGTCCTGTTTAAATGCTTTAGAGTGGATCTTGAATCCTATGAGGAAAGACAAACCATCTAAAACTGAAATGTCCTATCTTAACATTAAAACAATGTTAATTTTGTAACTTTGTTTAAAATGTCTTCAAACTGAGTTAGTTAGTTAGCTAGTTAGTTAGCTAGCTAGCTAGTTAGCTGGTTGCATTAAGTGGTTCAGAATTGATTTTTCAAGCAAGTTCGAATACAAATGTTGACTAACTGGATGTGAACCCACTGGAACAAATTTATTCAAAGGATCTTTAGAAAAGCTATTTTAAGGGTATACAAACTTAGGCATGTTAGGTTGGCTGGACTCCAAACTGCCCTTAGTGTGAGTGTTTATGGTTGTTGGTCCTTGTGTGTCTCTGTGTGTCCCTGTGATGGACTGGGGACCATCCCACCGGCCGGTAAAAATAATGGATGAATGTTTGGGGTTGGGTTTCCTTAGCTGGACACAGGTAACACATCTGAATGATCCAAGCCATCCAATGTGGAG